GGGTTCCTAAGCTTGGTGCGCTCTGCTACCACTCTACCAACCCAGGTTCAGTTGCTGGATTGTGTGTCTCCTACCCTGGGCGAGAAGAATGTCAGAGCCAATGTGAAGGCAGCATGTTCAGCACTTGGAGTATTGGGGAGAGGGAGAGTGCTGCTTTCAGTGACCCCTCTAGTCAATTCAGGAGCAGCATTAATGTGTTTTAGATGGAATCCAGTCCAGCTGCCCTCACTGTGATATGGGGCATTATGAGGACCTGGGGAAAAGGCTGTAAACTAGGGAGAAAAATGGAATCTTCCATAAGAATCCTCTTTTTCTTCTTTGGAAGAAAATAAATAATATGGACAGTGGTCTCAAGATGATGAACATAAAAAAGCCAACATAATTTTCAACATAACTGAGAGGCAGACGCTTTAGTGTTGTCAAGCATTTGTCAGGAGCTACACCACAATTTTTCCCTATATCTTATATTTGCTCCAACATTTGCATAACTAGGCTGTATGTTTTTTGCCAGGCCTTCCTCATCTTTCAGACATTTGAAACACAAGCCAGTTCTTCTGATCTTTAAAATTCAGCCATGACAACAGGGTTTTAAATCTTAAAAGTTTAACTGGCTTATACTAAGTTTTATTGCGAACATAAAATAGTAGACGTTAAAGAGTGAACATTTGCATTATTACCACAATTGCCACAGATATTTCCTGTCCTAAGTAAAGAGGGAACCTGGTTAGCTAAAATACTCTTGCATTACCGTACAGCAAATAATTGCTCTTTAATGGCAACCACTACATTTGATTCTTCTAAAAGTCTGTAGCATGCTTACTTGGTGTTTTTAACTCCATTCTCCTGTCATCCAGGAGTTGCAGAAAGCTGTTGATAACCGCAAAGCGATCGTCCTGTCCATCAACCTGTGCAGCTCCGAATTCACTCAATCTGATAGCGAAGAAAGCAAGAAGCTGCAGGAGCGCCTATCTCAGATGAACATGCGCTGGGAACGTGTATGCAGTATGATTGAAGAATGGCGTTGCTCACTGCAGGATGCGCTAATGCAATGTCAGGTCAGTATTGGTGTGTGGGATCTTGTTCCCTTCTTGAACATAATGAGGAATTCTAGAGATGATGGGATTCATTTTCTCTCTCACACACACACACACACACACACACACTTCACAGTTTCCTACTCTGAAAGATCAAACCTAATTCTGCCCACATATGCAAACTAAAATGCAGTTTGTGAAGCCTGGCTCTTAAAAGATCTCTGTGCATTACCTGAAGCATGTATTCTAAGTCCATGTTCCAGGTATTCTAAACTGAAGTATAGTTAAAAGATGATTCTCCACAGCTATATTCTGTATGCTAGCATTCACACCTATGCAAAGCAAATGCAAAGTGGGTGTAAACCACTACCAGAGCAGAACAGTATTCATGCAGTGGCAGGGGTATCAGGCCCATCAAGTATTTGCAATACTACTGTAATATAATATACTAATATAGGCTTGTAATACTATAGTAATATAAGAATATAGCCAATCGAATCTGTTGTGGGAAATAGCGATGTGGCAGAAAACCTCAGCATAATTTAGGGCTCTCTTAAGCTCTCACATGTCTCTTCTAGGATTTCCATGAAATGAGCCATGGTTTGCTGCTTTGGTTGGAGAACATTGACAGAAGAAAAAATGAGATCTTGCCTATTAATCCAAACCAAGACTTGGACACTCTGCAGGATCATCACAGACTGCTAATGGTAGGATCATAAATGCCTGGAATGTTTAAAGCCTTCAAAAAAAATTGACAAGCAGAGAGAAGGTAGTTCTTGAGGTTAGTGATTGGTCTGTGAGGTATACAGTATACTTAACCCTGTGGTACTAAGAAGGTCAGGGATTCTCTTTAGCATGGGTAGAGGGGGTAGTGAAATTGGTGGTTAAAAACATTTGGTTTAATATAGAAAACATCTGTCTAATTACCTTATTGGCTGTTGTTTATTTGTTTTTAGTTTGGGGTTGTTATTTTGGAAAGGCTATTTTTCATTGCAACTTGTTGGGCTATACAGGAAATCTAAAATAGTCTACTGCTCGTGATATGAGGTTTAAAAGAAATTGGAAGGCATTTATCACCTTTCTTCATTATAACCTGCCAGAATTTTAGGGCTAGTAGAGCTTTTTTCAGTGTGTCTATAGTGGTCGTCTTGGAAATTGAAGTCATTGCCATCTGTCTGTCTGTTTTATTGTTTTTGTGGAAGTTCTAGCATTCTCTTTCACATGTTTCATAATATTTAAGTAGAAAAATGTGATTCTTTGGCTTTGCAATAGCAAATCAGACGCGAGTTGCTAGAGTCTCAGCTGAAAGTGGTGTCACTCCAAGATATGTCCTGCCAACTGCTGGTCAATGCTGAAGGCAAGGACTGCCTGGAAGCTAAAGAGAAAGTCCATGTCATTGGAAACCGACTCAAGCTCCTACTGAAGGAGGTCACACATCACATCAAGGACCTAGAGAAAATCTTAGACATCTCAAGCAGTCAACTGGTAAATTGTCCTATTGTATTCTCTCCTTTACCACTCATTGAGGGCTAGTTTTGTAATCGCACTGACCTTTTTCAGATGATCAGCTGTAAAATACACTATTGGCCATTATTTTGTTGCTTAGGACTGTGATGCTCGACTAAGTGGTATGGAACCATTATGAAATCTCCTTCGTAATTTGTACTGTCCAATAACTTTCCTGTCTCTGAGACAGCAATTCATAAATTCCAAGGCCAGACAGGACCACTGTGATCATCTAGTCTGACCGCCTGTGTTACATAGGCCAAAGAACATCCCCCCCCCCAAAAATTGCTACAGCAGATCTTTTAGAAGAACATCCTATCTTGCTGTAAAATCGCCAGTGATAGAGAATCCTGCATGACCCTGGGTAAACTGTTCCAGTCATTAAATTACCCTCACTGTTAAAAATTGGCATCTTATTTCCAATCTGAATTTGTCTGGGTTCAACTTCCAGCCTTGGCTGCCTACTTTGCTGCCATTGATTCAGTCAACTGGCAGAGTACATGGGATAGCTACTGTAGCTGCAGTATCTGAACCTGTGGCATCTGAGTTATTTCCACAGAGTAAACAGCATCTACTTTCCTATTGACATACTAATGAAAAAGCTTGAAATAAATTCTCTAGTGTGCTAACAAAGACCCTGTTTGTTTGTGTTTTCTTAGCTTTGGAAGTGTATTCCATAGCAGCACAAGTTCTCTTGCAGATGAGAGTTGGGAATGTTATGCTTGTGTCTTCATTGTACATGCCCCAGTCACACAGAAGACTTTAACACTCTCCATTGTTTTCAGTCCCTCCTCTTGTAGTCCCCAAAACCTGAATTAGCACAAAGTATGAAGAATGTGATCTGTTTTCAATCTGTCTAGTGTCTGTCTCTCTCTGTCTTTATCTGTATAAAGTGATGTCTGGGATTCCAGTGGGAATTTTCACTGAGTACACAACACCTCTTTACCTTTTAAAAACCAATAAAGAGCCGTCGTTTTCTTGGTAATGCCTTTGCCTTACCTTGGGCAGTTAAATGTTCTTTCTGGCAGCATATTTGTTTGCCTGTCTTTCTCTTCAGAGCCTAACATGTAATTTATAGTGATTTAATCCTACAGATTTGCGTAAATTTAAACCTCCCTTTGTCATATTTCAAGGATCAGTAGTGCAAAGCACTCTGCTAAAACCAAGGATTTCATTCCCTTTTTCTGAGTGTGGTTTCCTTGGCAGATTACTTATGTTCTTCTAATCTCTTATGATTCTGAACTTTAGGATTTGTCTTCATGGTCCTCAGCTGATGAACTGGACACTTCAGGATCCCTCAGTCCTGTATCTGGAAGAAGCACCCCAAGCAGACAGAGAACGGTAATTTCATGCCAGATACCTTCTATCGCCTCTTGGGCGGAAGCACCAGATATTTACAGTAGCTGGAGCCAGATGAGAGGTCTACACCGTCTCCCTGATAGGAAAGAAAAGGGCACAAACCAAGAATTCCCCTCAAACAAAGCTGCTTCCCCAACCCTGCTGCATCTCTCTCCCTGCATGAAATCAGAATTAGAAAATGCTCTGTATAAAATCTAGGCTCAAAGTGTGGCTGGAGTTTTGTGGTATGGCGCACACTCTCTCTTGTGTTCTGTTCAAGCGATGGCAGCATCCCAAGGTCTGGTCTTGTCCCAGCACAGTTGCAGCCAATCCCTCTGCTTTATACCTGGCATCCTCTGCAGAGCTGCTTTGTCAAGAACCTCAATAAAACTTTCTTTTCATGATCGATTAAAACTGTAGCTGGAGCCAGAATTTTATTGAGACTTTGGATGAGAGGCTGCATAGAAAGCTTATAAGGCATTGTCAGAAACACTGGAACAGAACCTGATCAATGGCTGTGACAACAGCTCTAATGTTTCATGTTGTCACCACTAGAACACAATACAAGAAACGCAGCACGCCGTGCTGCACTCGGCTTCTCCACACTTTGATCCCCGTATGGAACTGGAATTTTTGTCTTTCTTTACAGTTCTTTTGTTTGATTTATTTTAATTATTATTCAGTTTTCCTTAGTTCTTAACTATCGATTTTTCATTTGCACTTTTTATAAAACATCTGAGTTCTGTCCTGATGAACTTTGTGGTCTCTTGAAATTGATCTTGCTGCATTCACTAGTTTTCTTTAGATCCTAGTTTGAGAATGTAAAGGAATACTGGCTTTTCAAAAGGGTTGAGAACAACATGAAACATCATTTTATTTCTGGAGTCATTAATTTCATATTTTTATTAGCCACTTTTTACAAAATTACTAATAAAAGTCATGATACCATAAACTAGAAGATGCCTGCACGCTGCAGAAAGTGATAAAGTAATTTACTATAGCAAACTTTGGCTAAAGAATTGGTAGAAATGTAGTATGTCTTATATTAACCTTTTAATCTGTATTTGTTCATGTCTAATACAATACTGTGGTTTACATACATTATTTTCTTCATTTTTGTCCATAATGTACAGTGTAAGATGAAAGACTCCTGAGGGCCTCCCTTTTTGCAGCTGTAATTTTGGAAACAAAAATTGATGTCTCTTAGAATTCTAATGCCAAGCGCATCACCAGTGCTAGATCTATAATTGCCTGCCATCCAGAGACTTTCAGCTAGTTAACCTTCTAAGCTGCATTAATTATGCTAGGAAATAATTGCAAGTGCAGTAATGCACCCACAGTTATTTGGCCCTCAAAATTATGGGTGGAAAGAGGGAAGCCAGACTTTTTAAAGGTGACATTTAGAATATAATTTTTAATGTTCTACAGAACATTAATTTAGCTGCAATTAAATATAAACACCCTTAAGTGCATCTCTTTCAATAAGATGAATTAATTCATATCTCATGTAACAAATTACTTGAGCTAAAAAAAAATTTAACACTCTTTTTTTGGTACCAAGTCTAGTATGATTTTAATTTTAATGTTTAAAACATTCTGTCAAGTTCCTTTTGTCTGTTCAAAGCATTTTCATATTCCGCTCGAAGCAGAAGAAAAGCCAGTTTCCTTGGTTCATGGGTATTGGTCACTTCATTTGATTTTATGTTTCCTTTGCTGCACTTTTAATTTGATTTCATCAGTAGCTTGTCTTTATTTGCCTGGACTGAACATTCTTCTTTCTTTACCCCCTGTTCATTGCAAACAGCCACGGGGCAAATGTAGTGTCTCACAGCCTGGACCCTCTGTCAGCAGTCCACACAGCAGGTACCTTATTCTCCTGGTTTCCGCACTCTGTTCTAGAATTCCAAGAGGATGATGGAAATTGCCCATGATGTCCATTAAGTGTCTCTCCACACTTAATCTGTCAAAGGGACAGTAATTAACCATTTCAAGTGCAGAGTTCCTTTGTAAGCAGGATTCAATTATTACAGCCAAAATATCTGTAAATAGAAATATCAGGTAATTCTTGGAATATACAGCTTTTGCTTTCCATTAGCATCATTTAAATTTAAATTTGTTTTATTTATTTGATCACATGGGTGTTTGTTTACATTCATAATATTGCTTGTTACATTAAGACCTGATCAGCAGATACACCATGAGGTTCATGGCAAAGACTTTTTATCATCCTCTTTATTTCTAGATATTAAATTAAGGCAGGTATTACACCAATACAATATTTTAGAATTTGTAAAACCCACAAATCTGAAGAAAACACACTAACATCCTCTTTTTTTTTTTTAGTTTTTGTTAATATTTTGTTCAGTTTGTGGGTTTTCAGTTCTCATAATTCAGAATGAAAAGTCAGAATTTGAGAATTTTCATCCTAAAAATTGGTAGCATCTTTTCTCTCTGCAATCATAGAACTTCTTTGCAGATATTACACACTGACATTAAGGTGACACTTGACAAGTGCTTGCATCCACTATCACTCTAGGAGCAGCGCTGCCCCATTTCTGGATGACCACTAGAGAGCAGACTTGCAGCTGCAGCTTTTTGCTTTCCACCTTGTCTCCAGCAATCTGTCATCTCTGCAGCTAACAGTGCTTCTGCATTCTCTGTTGTTGGTGTGATGTGTGTGTCCCTTCACTCTTTCACTGATCAGTTCACTTTGCCCTATAGAATAAACAAAATAATGTTTTAAAAAACAAAAATATATATAAACATTGTAAGGTACAGGCCCTGTCCCATTCAGCATCTAGTGAGTTGCAACAAAAATTTAAAATTATATTGGGGGGTGGAGGAGAAAGGAGGGGAAATATATATGGAACTGTAATTAAACTTACACTTTCTTTGTCATCTATGTAGTAAAATTGAAATCCATTAAAATAGTTCTTGTTCAAATGCAAGAAATTTTAGGTTTGAAGCAGGGCCAAAATAGATTTATACAGTGATTGAGCAATGGTCAGGCATTCAAAAAAACTTGAATGCACTTTGTACTTGATGACCTTCATTCCATAAAGACAAACCATGCTTTTGCTCAACAAAGCAACAGTGTGAAATATTGGGGGAGGGGGGAGGAGCAAAAACTGCTAGCATTTAGAACTAGTCAATATCCAAATTATTTTCAAGTAATATTTGCAATGTTTTAAATGTGTATAGAGAATCAGTTCATGACTTTAGCTGTACCAGTTCTCAATCAAAATCCAAGTGATGTATGGTAGGTAGAACATTTAGGCTTCCAATGCTTCCAAGAAAGTATATTGCTTGTTTGAAAAAACAGTAAAATAGCATACAGAATAAGTGATGTATACTTAAACAAGTGACCCCAATTCTCTGTTCTTCTCTCAAATGGAGAACCAGGGAGAATTTTTCTACCTCCAGTCAGTATAGGGCTTGGCATTCTGTTTCTTATAGAAAGGGGGAAGGGGGGATTGGAAATTTAATCTATGACCATTAACAGCTAAGCATATGTCTTTTATGAACCTGTCTGAAGAACAGCGTTTAAATCAGGCAGGTAAGCATGCTTGCACTAGCAACACTAAACTAAAGGAATACGTTGTGTCTGCTCCTCTGCTCCCCTTTACATGCCCAGCCACACATGCACCCCTTTGAGAAGGCTTCTGTGTTGTGGGGTGAGCGACTGGCCCAGCGTGCGTCTTAGCAGTGCTTTGCGGCTTTGGGATCAGCCCACGTTCTAACAGTGGCATCTGCGCGGCACCTCTCAGATCAGCTCTCTTCAGTGCTGTATATTAACACATCTCATAGCTGTTCAACACAATATTCAATTTGTCATTCAGACAAGCGTGGAATACAAATGAGTTACTACTGAATGGGAAACTTAGTCAAATGCGCAAGCCAGACAGGTTGTGGTTGATGTGTAACGTGGTTTTAACTGATAAAGCAGTACAAGCTGTCACTGTGTTCTTTAATATTTTGACATGCCTCTGATCAGAGTACTTCGTGTTTGATCTTGCACTGGATCAGCAAACTCTAATAGACTATAGTGTAAGGGAGAACCAAAGAGAAATTAGACATTTTTATCCCATAGGATTTTGCAATGGAAAGTTACTTACTTTAAAAATTAGAGGGTCAGTGGGGTTTTATATTAAGCTTGATGACATTTTACCTTTCCATTATCATAACAAATAGGTTAACATATTTACTGTATCCTGTTCATTTGTCACATAACCCCTGTCTGTTTAGCAAGATATCCTCCCAGATCTCCACGATTACAGTATGGCATGAATCTGTTTTGCCAGGCAGTACAAGCTGTTGCATGCTAATTAGGAAAAGCAAATCCCAAAAGTGCATTTTCCCTTAGGCAGCTAACATAGCTTTCAGAAAATGCACGCCTGGACCTATGCCTGCCTGCAGACTTTTTGAAATGATAAAAATGTTAAAAAGACCAAAATAATTGTACAATTTGCATCTGTGTGTTTACATTGTCTCTCTTGGGTAGCTTTATTCAAGTTCTGGCGCCACTTCCTAACACCACCACCCCACCTCCACCCCGAATCAAATAGCAAATTTATAAACTCACCTTTAATTCTTGAACCAAACTATGCCACAGGATTCTTACTGGCTTCGACTGCATAATAGCAGGCAGTGTACGCGTACTGATTAGACCTGGAGATTTGGGCTCAGATCTCCACGGTTCTGTTCCCAGTTCTACCACTCACTCTTGACTTTGGGCTTGTCAGTTAAACTGCCTGTTTAACCACCTGTAAAATGGATATATTAATCTTCTTTACAATGTAAGCGAGCTAACTTTGGGGGAAGGAGGGAGGCAGAGTAGCCAATGTAGAACACGCAGTAGCAAAGAACAACTAATTTAGCTGCATGCTGAGCAGTAAGGTGAAGATACACTGGAGCTGAAATGAGAATTCCCCCCTGTTCATCTGGTAACCCTGCATGATAGTTTAACTTCCACCTACCAGCTAAGCTTTTCAGAAGAGACGAGTAGAGCTCCAGTTCTCCAGACTTTGCAAACTCCATAGGTGAGGGATTGGACTGCTTTATGTAGCTTAAAGTCAAGTCATCAGAGCTCTTGCGCAGATGACTTGGTTTGACATTAGGAAACATGCAGTTGGTCAGATTTGCAGCTGTGCCTTCCACAATATCTAGTCACTAGAATCTGTTTAAGGGAGTAAAGAACAATTGTGAAGTGGTCTGATTTCAGTCCAAACTGAGCAGCTGTCACTGTGACAAATGGCAGAGCGGTCTGAAAGAGAAGGCAGGGAATCCATGGGCAAGAGAAACGAACTACGCTTTCCCCCCAAAATAATATACTGTATAGCATTTGGGCCCAGTCCCCACCCACTGAAATTGATAGTAAGTTTTCCATTTACTTCAATAGCGCAGCGGGTCTTTGGTTGCAGATGTTACCATTTAATCACCCCTTTTCACCCGCATTAAACACTTTGAGCTGCGTATCCAGTTTTCCATCACTATTAATGTGTCCATTATGGTATGAGTAAGTGTGATAAACAGCAGTTATGTCGCCAAAGGAATATAGCGCTTGAACTTTTTAAAACAGACCCTTTGAAGTAGTTTCCTACAGAGACAAATGTTTCATTATTCACTTCTTGGGTCATTTCCATACAGTATTAACCCGTTAATGTTTACAGCCCTGCTCTACTACTACTATATTTCAGAGCACTTTTCCAATAACGGCATTAATGCTTCAAAGAATTAACTAGGCCCATCATCGAGAGCCTCCATACACTTCCCACCACCACCTTTTACTTTGAATGTTTTTATGTTTTTCAAGAAATACAGAAACAAAATCAGTGGTGCATTTCTGCTGCCATAGTCTTGAGAAGAGAGGAAAATTACTAGTTGAACAAGCCCACTCCTTTGATCTGTCTCTTGGAAATTCCCTTAGAGACCCTTTTGGTAGCCCCAGAAAAACTTTCAGGTGACATTCAGGTCACTGGATAACTATTTAAAAAAAAAGACTCCGCTTTCCACATCGTGATCATTAACCCCAATGACGAGTGGACACTGTACAAAATGTGGCATCTGTTGATGAGCTGTAAGCAATAGTATTTATGCAAAAAGCCACGTAAGTAGGTAGACTGTGCAGCGAAATGCTTGGAAGGTAATTAAGCACTCCATGTTCCTATTGTTCCTACCTCAGCCCATTAACTCTCTGTGTTGGCATTCTTAGACAGTGGAAGGCCTGGTCTAATTGAACTTTAATATGGAATGCTCTGATGCTGTTAAATGTGCCATGTCCTTTCATTGCGTTCTATATAATATATGATCTTACATGATGCAAGAATAAGCAGCTTTCCATTCTGGCTCCAGCGCTGTGGATTTAAGCAATGTGTAATCTTTTGTTTTGATCTTGACCTCTTGACCTAATCATCCCAGTAAGTTAATCATTTAGGGACCCGAATATTCAGCTCTCCATTAGACAACTAAACATAACCAAAAGCTGCCTGGCTTCATTTGAAGTCTTCAGCATGGGAAGACATCTGTAGATAAGTGAGCTAGTAACAACAAATGATGTCCTCCAGAAAGATATTAATAATTGGAGAACTAGTTTCTTCGGTGATCCAGAAGGTACAGGGGAGGGTACATGGCTATGTAACCAACATTGCCATCAAGACACAGGTAAATCTGAAGATGGCTTCTCATCTTTGTGCTGTTTTACATATGTCTTTCTACCTCTTTAACCTCAGTACACCATTGTGTTCTCGCTGAACTGTAATCAAATTACTGTGAGACTTCCATATCCGATAGACACTTAATAATAAAAAGAACTGAAGCAAGATTGAAGTAGGCTGCAATATTAGGAGATAGCTTGAGAACCATTAAATTCCCCTGCATTTTAGTACTTGCCAAAACACAGTACCTTTTGGTGCCACATAATTAATGTATCTAACTCATTCTGTTTGGGTTTTTTAACCTTCAGGCTTTATCAACCCATCTAACTTCTAAGAAGCCTTTCGGTAGGTCACCCATGTAGTAGTTTTCTGACAGGTTGGGTCAAAAGGACAAAATGGGAAGGTTTGTGCAGAGGTGCTGGAACAGTTTTTATAGTGGGGGTGCCAAGAACCATTAAACCAAACTGTAAGCCCTGTATATGATGGAAGCCGCTTCAAATAAGGGGGTGCAGCAGTACCTCTAGTTCCAGCAACTGTGGGTTTGTATCAAAATGGAATTCAAACAGTTTCCAGTGCTAGTAAGGAGAACTTCCATGTTACAGGGAAATCTAAAAACTTCAGTCAGAATTTTCAAATGTGGGTACCTAAAATTAGGCATCTAAATTGATAGCCTGATTTTTGTTTTTCAGAGGTGCTGAGCTCCCACATCTCCCATTGATTAAAAAATTGCTATGGATTTAGGTGCTTAACTTCAGACATACAGGTTAGAAAATGTTAACCTCAAGACCTACCTCCCCATCAGATATTGAGAGTAGGCTGTGACTGCCGTGCTAGTAATAGGTTTTTCATAGAAAGACAGCAAGGAAATAAGTTACACAGAAAGGATAAGACGTCCATTCAAGTCCAGGAACTTTAACTTCTGATTCAGTGCAAAATGAAGCTATGCTGTACTCTGTGGACACTGAGATCCCTTTAATCCAACACTGGCATATTATTGCTCTAGTTGCATTGACTCATCATGATACTTCCTAAAAGGAAATGCAGTTGACACTTAAAGCAATGGGGTTTCCCTTCTAGACTGTGTGCAGATATTGACTGAGTCAGCAGCTGACATGATAGAATATATTTTGTCTTGTCTAGAGAATACAATCCATTCATTTTTTCACATGGAAAATCTTTCATGCAATTAAGTAAGAATGATGGCACTTGAGCTGCCCATGTGCTATTCTTTTTGATTGATCAGATGTTTTTTTTTTCAATCCCACCAGTGCTAAACAGTGACAGTGTCAGGGTAATGGCATATTCAGTATAAAACACCTCTGGCATTTGTTAATGATAGGATTTGTACTGATTTTAAAATTAATGCTCCAGGAAGAGTTGTTGTATTCCAGAGAGCAGTGTCCATTTTCATAAGGCTTATGTTTATCCTGCATTGATTTCTTTTCTCAGGTCCATAAGAGGTGGCTCAGATTCCTCCCATTCTGAGACACTGGCAGCTCAGCAGCACCCATCCTTCTTCCTGAGAGTCCTCAGAGCTGCTCTACCACTTCAGCTTCTTCTGCTGCTCTTGATTGGTCTTGCCTGCCTTGTACCAGTGACTGAGGAGGACTACAGCTGTACCCTATCGAATAATTTTGCCCGGTCCTTCCACCCCATGTTAAGATATACTAATGGCCCTCCTCCTTTATGAAGCAGTAGAAAGGCTATTAAAGTTGGAGAAGCATGACAGGAAATGGGCCTGTTTCAAATGTCAATGCACTCAACATGGCAGCTTTATCTATCTATTGTAGCCAATGTTCCCATATCATTCTGCTGGCACTAAATTAATAATGTATCCGTACCAAAATGTGTAATGCATTATGTGAGTAATATCCTTTCAAAACTCACATCCCTGGCACTAAGAAGGCTATGAAATAAGTGAGGGAATTTTCTTTCTATCCAACATTCTGGATCTTCTGGCCACTTTATATCTGGGTCACTGCCCTGTGCTATGCATAGCCCAAGGACTTTATACCGTCAAGAGAACCTCTCCTGTGTGCGGCTCTGAATGAGCTATTAGCCGATCTTTGTTAAATATATTATCAGTATCTAACAGTATTCAAACAAACCAGTGCTAAGGACATTTGAAAGACTTTGTAACATACATTTTTAAAGAGCTTGTATGGCAATGTACTATTTTTCCTTGGTTTTTGTTTTGGGCATGGTGTTCTAACCTTTTCTTTGGATGCACAGGCTGTAAATCTGAAAGGCACTTTTTTAAGGTTTAAAAAAATGGATGTAATAAATAAGATCATGGAAGGTTTTATGAGAAAAAATATTGAATATCAAGTATAAAAAGGAACCTATTTATGTATGTACAGTTTGCTAAGCCAAGTTTTGTTTGTAATGATTTCTTTGCATTTATTATAGATACCATACAATATTTTGTCTACGTGCTTTTTAATGACAATTATAGAAACCTGTACGTTTAGAATGAGAAATGTATGGTAAAAACAATTATAAGACCATGTATATGCTGCAATTCTCAAAGAAAAAAGTAAAATAAAAAGAAATGCTGTAATAATGAATTGTAGCAGGAATCTGTGGGAATGGAAAGATGTTGCAAAATTGCTGCAGAACAGTATGAGATACGGGAAAGTATATAGTTATAGAATCAGTGATGAATATAAAAAGCTGTTTAATTATGAATTAACATTTGGAAACTCCAGATTTTTCTAATATGTTTCTTACAGTCCATTTTTCCCAAACCGTTAGATTTATGTGTATATATGCTGCCTCCCATACTCCAGTTATTATTATGACCAGTCAACATTGAAGAAGACTGTTTTTTGAGAGCTGAAAACATTTAAATCTTCTCCATAGCAGCTTGATATAGACTGACATTAAGACTGATATTTATGCTAGACCAATAGCTGAAGTATTGTCATGGAATATACCCAACACACAAGCATAAATAGCAGAAAAACAGAACAAAATGAAAACTCATAAATTTCCCAGAAACATTACAGCAAACTCTCTCTCTGAGCAGCGGCAGGCACTTCACATAGCTTATGAGTCATAACTTAACCAAAACAAAATTCTTTTCAAGTTTGAGAAATTGCAGAGTGTTGCCCTAAAGTTATCTCTGTTTTAATAAGTTTTTTTTCTGTTTTAAAAAAAACCCATTACACATACTGTATATTTTCCCATTAATTTTAGGAACAAATGTTTTCATTTAAAGAGAGAATAGACTGGAGTGTGTAAGCAGAAGCAAAGAGGCCCTTTGTTTTTGCTGAGCCTGGAGAAAACAAAACAAAACTTGCATTGTTGATGCTTCTTGGGATTGCCTTTCTGGGTAGCAATGGTTTGAATTGAGACTGATTAGAATTGAGCTATTGAGGCCAGTCAGGGAGTTCATTAAAATTATCACCAGTAGGCATCCGAGTTAACATGTGGGGCAGTTCATAAATCTTAGAGCAATTGTTCTTGGGTAGATGTCACTGAATTGGATACAATGGATTTGTGTTTTTTGAAGGTTTCTTCACAGCCATACGGATTAGAGGTTTTTAATAAGGAACGCTGAGATTGTGAAGCACGAGATGGCAACGCAGGCAAGGGAGCCAGCAAATGTTATCTGAAAGCAAGCATACAGCCTGAAATTAATAAACAGCATTAAAATTTTATCTTCAAGGAGTTCACCAAAGAGGGTGCTAGGAAGAGTACACAGACAGCCTCACCTGTGACTTCCTAGGGATCCGTACATTCTAATGTACATGAATTAA